TAACTCATCCCTCTAACAGTAACAACCAATACTATTTTCAAAGGATAATATTAGATATATTTAATAGTATTGAATCCATCCATTTATCGAATAATTTGTTGTTACCTCTTAAACCTCTATATACTAGTTTAGTATATTTTGGTGAGATTGCTGTTATTGGTGGATCTATTTGAGGAGTTTTAATCTCATTTTACTTGATGTTGATCTCACCAACTCTTTTGTGAGAGGTTTCGTAAATGGATCAGCTAAGTTCTCACTAGATTTAACAAATGTAAGAGAAATTACTCCATGTTTGATTGATTTCGTTACATACTCGTGTCTTAGACTCATGTGTCTAGACTTTCCATTGTATATTTCGTTATATGCTCGAGCTAGGGTGGCTTAACTATCACACAAGATTGGTATAGAAGAAATATCCTTTATATCTAAAGGTATTTCATATAATAAATCTCTTAGCCACTCAGCTTCTTTTCCGATTTTGGCCATGCTACAAACTCCAATTCCATAGTTGAATGAGTAATACAAGTTTGTTTCTTAAACTTCCAAGAAATTGCACCACCTCCAAGAGTGAATATCCAACCTGAAGTAGATTTATTTTCTCCTGCACTCGATATCCAACTTGCGTCGGTATATCCTTCCAAGATTTTAGGAAATTTCGTATATTGTAGCCCAAGATTTTTGGTTTTCTTTAGGTAACCAAGAACCCTACCAATGGCTTTTCAATGTTCTGAACTTGGATTGCTAGTAAACCTACTTAGTTTACTTACAGCAAATGCTACATCAGGTCTTATACATTGTGATGCGTACATAAGACTTCCAATTGCACTTGCTATTCTATTTGTACAATTGATCTACCTTCATTTTTTATCAATTTAATATTTGGATCTATAGGAGTGTTAGCCTCATTAACATTCAAATGTTTGAATTTGTTTATCACACTCTCAACATAGTGTGATTGGCTTAATGTAAAACCCTCACTATCCCTTTTAACTTTGATACCAAGAATAGTATCAACTTCTTCAAGATCCTTCATTTTGAAAGTAGAGGATAAAAACAATTTTATTTCTTTCATCCCATCTATATTATTGCTAATGATTAGCATATCATCAACATATAGACATACTAACGTGAATATATTTTCATTCACTTTCGTGTAGAGGCATTTATCTACCGAATTGTGATTAAATCAATTTGACATTATTTTAGAGTCAAATTTCTCATGCCACTTTTTGAGAGCTTGCTTTAGTCCATATAAGAATTTAATTAATTTGCACACTTTATGTTCATTTTCCGATAGAACGAACCCTTCTGGTTGTTCCATATAGACTTCTTCTTCGAGATCTCCATTTAGGAACGCCGTCTTGACGTCCATTTGATGAACATATAGATCATAAATAGATGCTAACGCAAATAAGATCATGATCGAGGTTATCCTGGCTACGAGTGCATACATATCAAAGTAATCAATTCCTTCTCTTTGACGATACCCTTTAGCCACTAATCTAGCTTTGTAAGTATTAAGTGATCAATCGGAATTGTATTTCTTCCTAAATACCGACTTGCAACCAATAGCTTTAGATCATGCTGGCAAGTCAACTATTTTCCAAGTGTTATTTGAAATAATAAAATCCATTTCGTTGTTTATGGCTTCTTTCCAGAACATGCAATCTCTAGATTGCACCGCTTCCTTATAATTCTTAAGATCACTTTCCACTTGAAAAGCAAAGGTAATTGTTCTTACAATATCCTTCCTATCTCCTTCTACTAAATAAAAAGAAATAAGTTGGGGATCTATTTCATCTGATTCTAAGTTCTTTTCTTTTCTAGTTCTTTTACTTCTTCGAGGTTCAATTTCAACATCCTTTATGGATGTCTCTTCTGGTGAACTTCTAAAGATTGAAATATCCTTATCATTAATTTTAGATTTTCTAGCTACCATTACATTTTCGAAGAATTCCACGTCTCTTGATTCTATTATAACATCTGTTTCTAAATTTAATAATCTATAGGCTTTGCTGTTGTGAGCATATCCCACAAAAGCACAATTGATATCTCTAGGACCTAACTTGATTCTCTAACGATCCATATTCTTACAGTATGCAAGGCACCCCCACACTTTAAAAAAACTGATATTTGGTTTTCTATTTTTCCAAATTTCATATGGAGAAATTTTATTCCTTTTCATAAGAATCCTATTTGTTATATGGCAAACACTAAGTAAGGCTTCACCCCATATATTAAAGGATAATTCAGAATTTAACAACATTACATTTATCATTTCTAAAAGAGTTCTATTCTTTCTTTCTGCTAATCCATTTTGTTCCGATGTTCTAAGTGCAGAAGATTGATGTATTATTTCATTTTGTTCACAAAATATGTTAAATTCATTAGAAAAATATTCTCCACCTCTATCACTTCTTAAAATCTTTAATTTTCTTCCTAATTGATTTTCAACTTCAATCTTATAAGTCTTAAAGGCACTAAAGGTTTCATCTTTATGTTTTAATAAGTACACATAGGTATATCTAGAACAATCATCAATAAAAGTAATAAAATATCTATTACCGCCTCTCGTTAACATTCCATTCAATTCACATATGTCGGAATGAACAAGTTCAAGTAATCTTGTTGTTCTTACTACGCTATGAAATGACTTCTTAATCATTTTTTATTTAACACATGTTTCACATTTTTTCAAGTTGTCAATTTCACATTGTATTAATCCACATTTAATCATTCTTTTGATAGTATTAACTCCTATATGTGCTAATCTACCATGCGATAAATTAAATGAATCAATAACATACGCAAAAGATTTAATTTTATTTGAGTTATCCTCAATAGTACATAGTTTAACCATTCCTTCGATGGAATAGCTCTTTCCAACAAAGTGCCCATTATGGGTTAATACAAGCTTTTCAGATTCAAAAATAGATATAATTCCAGGTTTTCCCAAGAGTACACCACTTGCTGAGTTTCTATTCATTTTCGGTACATGCAAAATATTTGTCAAAGTGATCTTCTTTCCCGAAGAGAAAATGAGTTCCACATTTCCTTTGCCAATCACTTTTGATCTTCCTTCATTTTCCATTTGTATCTCTTGATTGTCTTCAATGTCATGATAGGTTTTGAAGAGAGACTTATCATAACATAAATGAATTGTAGCGCATGTATCGTACCACCAGCCTAGAACTTTGCCTTGGAATGCATTGATTTCGCTCACCGTGACGATAATCTCATCAACGGAGTTCACTTGTCCTTATTTCTTTTGTTGTTTTCTATGTCTACAATCCTTGGTATAGTGTCCTGATTTTTCACAAACATAGCAAGGTCCTTTGGCCTTGTTTTTGAACTTTCCTTTATCCTTTCTAGGACCAAGAAATTTTCCTTTCTTTTTAAATTCATTGGAGTTGTCCACATTCTCCACGGCATTAGCCTTTGAAGAGCCTTCATAAGAATTTTCAATCTTATCTCTTGCCCTTAATTCTTCCTCAATACGAAGATAGTTTTGTATATCTTCCAAAGAAAAGTCTTCGAAATTGTGAAGAATCTTCTTCCTATATCCTTTCCAAAAATCAGGAAGTTTAGCAATAATTGCTCCCACTTGGAAAGTTTCGGGAAGTTCGATTTTCACCGCTTTCAGTTTGTTTACAATTATTTGTAACTTATGTTCTTGAGGCAATAATGGTATATTATCCAAAAATTTGAAATCAAAATACTTAGATATTAAGAACTTTTTGGTACCTTCCTCCTCGGCTTTGTATTTGCTTTCTAACGCGTACTAGATTTCTTTTGCCGATGTAGTGTTGGTGTAGAGATCATACAGGCAATCGGATAATGCATTTAGGATATGGCCACGACATATCAATTCGTCCTATTCCCGTTTCTTCCTTTCTACGCGAATTTCTTCGGTATCTTTGTCAGTTGCATCGGGAATGGGCTCCAATTTTAGATCAAGCACATAGAAGATCTTCAAGGCCATTAATAGAAATTTAAGTTTGTTTTGCTATCTTGTGAAATTTGCTCCATCGATACTGTCCAAGCGTACAAGATCTTGATTCATCATTTTGATAGTAGCAAGTGTAGATTCCATCTCCATTGCAATAATAGTAACAAATAACGTTTGAGATTGTTGGAAAAATAATGGCAATGAAGAAGAAAATTATAAAAGTATATCAATAAAGGCTTGAACACGAAATTAATCTCGCCGTCCTCAAACACTATTTGCCTCATTTCCAATGCGTTTTAAGGATTTCTGGCAAATAGTTTGTAAGATTAAACAAGCCTTTACAAGAAGAACACTAAAAAAGCAAATGTGTTTCTTCACAATGAACAAGTGAAAATGGAAGTATTATGTGATAAATTTTCTCAATATTGGAAGTGTATTTGGGGATAAATTTTAATGAAACTCAATATATTTTTTCTTACACTTGGATCATCTATTTATAGGTCTTGGCAAGTTTTTCACGAGATGGTGCAAAACAAAGATGAAAAGCCACCAATTTCAAATAAGAAATAGTCAAAAAACTAACATAACGGGAAGTTTTTATAAACATGCGACCGCATGGGCAACCTCCATGGCCTTCCCATTCTCGGAAGGGCCTCATGCGACCGCATGGGTTTAATCCATGCGGTCGCATGGTTAACAATAAACAAATAAATTTTCAACATTTATCAGCTGGCTAGTTGACCGTTAGTGGACACTGTTCGGCATATAAATTATGCAGATCATGAACAATAATAGTATTGTTCAGGTTGTTGATGATCCATTGGACTTGCAAGCAGAAGTGGACAGTGGAAAGCGGGCTCAAGTTCTCGAGTATTAAGGAAAAAGAGAAACTAACGCCTATATTAGAGATGAGAAGAAGAATTTGATGACATTGGCATCAGATTCAGCAAGAATGGATCAAGTTACCATAGCGCAAAAAGATGCTTCTCCCCAAAGCACAAGCACCTGCAAGGAGAACTACTTTGATCTCGTGTGGCTCAAGGAAATTGGGAGCATAACATATTTAAGCTTTCTACAGCACTGCCAAGATATTAACCGTTCAGTCGTTTGGTTCAACGGAAATAACAAGAAAACTGCAGCAATTAATCTAAGTTCATCTCACATTTCTCCTTTTTTAATCATTATAAGATATATCCAAATGTCCAAAAAGAATCCACCACCAGCTCCAATATCCCATGAAGTGTATATATATATTACAGCCCAGAAATGCTCCTCGTGGAACAGCTTAGCCTCAAATCAATACCCTGCCAATATTTCGTGAAACTGTATTGAAATTTGTGGGAAGAAATCCAGACACTGAACTACCTGGTACCACTTGGTGAGAAGAATATTTGTGGCGGACTCTATGCTACAAGTGACTCTCCAAGAGATTAGGCAACGAAATCTTCCCAGAGTTATTTGGGTCAAGCTTGCTGAACTGCTCGCATATCTGGATTATATCTTTTTCCCTGATCTTACCCATCTCTTTGAGCTTGTAAATAATGTATTCCGATTTACTGTATCATTATAGATTATCAAAATGGTTAGTGTGATAGTTTGACTTAAAACGGCACCAACAGAATTAGATAATTCTTCAGTTCTTCAAGACAAAAAAAGGAACAAGAAACGAGTAAAGAAATGGATCTGCAGTTTTAACTTTTAATAACTAAGATAACGTTCAAGGATTTTATTTCAGCTTCTAATTCTTAAGAATTGAGTAGCGGATAAATCTTTAATCAACACTTGGTCGTTGTTTTCTATCCATGTTTATCTTTTCTGTTTTTACTTTCTTTTTGGTTCTATGTTTTCTTGTACTGGTCTCTTCTTCTCCCATATATAGCCTTTTAAAGTCCAGTGAAGCTCAATTCAAACGTGCTGTCATAAATATGATCTACTTATGGGAGTACACTATAAAAAAAGAGACGAATCATCAATTTCAAAACAGTATCCAAGCAAGCTTAATTAGCTAAAACAGGGAGGATAAAAATATAATCTTCTCGACGTTCTTACCTAATGAAACCATTGTTATTGATATCAGCAGCAACCAGGTCCTCAACTGTTATTTTGCGATGCAACACCCAATTAGTAATTTTCCTGTGCCTCTTGTCCATCCTGGCCTCCGCCAAATACAGAAAAGCTCGTGCAACCGCCAGTGTGGAGAACAATAGCCAAATCGACGCGAACAACCTCCCTGGCAAAGTCTTGAATGCTCTGTCCCCATACCCGACCGTGGTAACAGACATAACCGATAAATATACAGAATCCACCCAATCCAAATGTTCCACAAAGTACAAAACCATAGCCCCAATTCCAATACAGAGCACAACCACTCCCAATGCCAATCCCACTTTCAGTCTGATTCTCATTCTGCCCTTAGCCACATCCACTATATAATCCCTGGCAGAAAATCTACCATGTTCTTTTTGTTGATCCTGTTTATGTGCTTGAATTCCGGCCAATATCACGCTCTCCTGCAAGTCAAGCACATAATTAACAACCCCACTCAACAGTATGTCGATGAACCCAAAACCCACCAACACGAAAACACAAGCAAAAACTTTTGTGGCCGGCGTTAACGGGGCGATATCCCCATATCCTATGGTGCACATAGTGACAATACAAAAATATAAGGCATCCACCACGGGGTGAGTCTCAACACCAGAGAAATTATCACGATTGAGGGAATAAATAACAAGACCAAGTGCCAAGTAAATTAAAAGCAAAACAGCAGCCTGCCTGACTAAAGAAACAGACTGTGTCTCAAAATCAGGATCTTGGGCATGGTCAGACTGGAGATCCTTCATTACAGACATTGCCGGGGCAGTCTTGCACCGCTGAATTTTCTTCCGTTGAAACGAGGAGGAGGGTCCCGGGGGAGGGGAAACAGTATCAACAAGATCATCATCACTAAGTGGGCCGTCTTCAATATCTTCGTAGATTACTGGAGGATGTGGTTTAATATCGTTTCTTTTCAAGGATCGAGGGATTTTGAGAGTGAAATCACGAGGAGCTTGAGGAGGGGCCAACAATGGCTCCGCTGCCATTCATACAGATGAAATCCCACAAAGTTTGAGCCGCCGTAAAGCAATCTATCAGCAAATCGAATGCTTCAGAAAGAAGAAAATTATATTTGATGAGAGAGAAAAATAAAATAATAAATTGAATAATCGGCATTTCGCAACCTACGTTATAAAAAGCATGGTGCCCACTTTCTTAATTGGGATGGGCCAATTGAAAATCGTCTTCTAGTTACCAATAGCGAAAGAGTTAATTCATGGTCACTGAAGTTCAACTGAAATTTCAAAATAGTCCTTAAATTATTCATTGACTAATTTAGTCACTAAAGTTAAATTTTCAATTAATCACTCCATTACATTAGTGATTAGATGGGCTAAATGAAATATTTTAAGGACCAATTTGAAATTTAGCTTGAGCTTTGATGACTATTTATGAGATTATCTAAATTAAATAAAAATTAATGCATCAAATTGCATGCTTTGGCTAAACTTAAAAGAATTGTTTAAATAAATAAATTCTCATATAAACAAACTTTCTTGTTAAAATTAGTAAGTTTTTTAATAACTTTCTTGTCAAATTGCATCTAATCTAAGGTAGTTAATTCAAGTTGAGATTTGCTACTCGACAAAATATTTCATTACTATATTTTCGACATATTCACGCATCATTTCTACAGTAGCAAATAAAAGTCAATATAGCAATATTATACTTGAAATGACATTTTTTGTTTATTAAGTAACAAAAAATTGAAACCCCAATGTGTCAACAAATTCAAAAAGAAAAAATAGCTTAAAGTGACTTACGTGTTTAAAAATTTAAATGTTTACTAAACTATGCTTTTATGTTTTTCACCGTTGATTACACTTTAAAAAAATTTCGAATGGTTACCCCACTTATCAAATTGTCATCCTATTGACCATTAAACTTAACAAATTGTTATCCCATTGACATTAAACTTAAAAATAATTGGATGATCGTCGAATTTATCAAATTGTTGTCCCATTTATAATTCAATAACTTATCGTTACAAATTCGACGGACTCATTGACTTGAAAAACCAAAATGATTACATGGCACATTATTGTCATTAGTTGACAAATGAACTTAAAAATTGAGATCAACTGGAAAAGGCAATGAAAATAATTCTAAACAAAAATATAGATAAATAAAAGAAAACAGACAAAGATTAAAATTCAATGCATTTATATAACTTGTTTTTTGGCTAATTGATGATAGTAATAAATTATATCAATATCTTTGTTTTCGCGTCTTTCTACGTGGGCAAGTACGTCGAATTTTTTAACAATGAGTTATTAAGTGATTGTTGAAATGATGATTTGACAAGTTCGATGACAATATGAAAAATAAAAAAAAAAGTAAAATTAAAGTTTAGTAGCCAATGAAATAACGATTTAATATGTTCAATAACAATTCGAAAAACTTTTAAAATGTAATGATCAATAAAAATGTATTATGCAGAATTCAAGGGCGTTTTTGAAATTTTAACCTTGGAACTACACATATCATCTCTGTTAATCCGGCTTCAACATCAACATTGATGGATGATGTTTCGTGATCATCAAAATGGAGAAGAAAGCGTGTTGTTGAACACCTCAGCATCTAATAATTGAAGTCTACAGTTTCATGCATCCCAACAATGGACCACCTGACCTCAATTTCCCCAAAATTTCCCCCCCCCCCCCCCCCCCCCCCCCCACCTGGTTACATCTTTCAGTACTAGGACTCAAGTCAAGTTTGATCGATTGCTTACGACAGCTTATTGATGCTCGTTATAGCGGTGAAGTTCCTCAAATCAAAAATTTCAATGCGCTACGAGAGAAATGAACTTTACATACTGATATCGAGTTTGATTGTGTCATAACTCTATAATTCAGATTAGGTTTATCGTTGGATGAACTGGCCCCACACACACACACAAAACGTCAAATACACAACTTTTTGTGTGGGCAACCTTTCATTAGTCAGTTTCCCAGATTTGTGAATTTGGCTAAACAATTATGTGACTTTTCACCATCTCTGAAGGCCCCATTTTAGCAAGTCATGGAACCAAGCCCAATCAAAGCAAGATATTTTTTTGGTTAATCCGTCTCGTCTCCGTGTCTAAAATTATTTTCTTTACACTTGGTAGTCAATATAAATAACTTCACGTGGCTTGTTGAAGTTTAAACAGTTAAATAAGTTGAAGTCCAATTAGATTAATATGTTGAGCTTTGAATCTGGTCTTAGACGTTAATAGATCTCAACTTATTCTAGTTCATGTGTAAGCTGTACAATTGGACAATCATGTTAAAGGCATAGACCATCGGTCTAAAATTGAGTGCAACCATTGTATGCACTGTCGATGCTCAAGTAAAATAAACAGACAATATACTAGGTGTGATGGCGGACAATGAAAGATTTAAAATTATAGGAGTTTATTTTAGATTACAAGTGAAGTATCCAGCATTATGATTATTTTCAAATGACACAATGATTGAGTATTTATATGTTAGGGAGTTGTAGACGAGGCCCGTTGAATGTTATGACATGGGACTTCATCCTGAGAACTCATATGTCAAGCTCAATGACATTACATACTAGCACAATAGGCATGTGACCTTCCACACTCTGTTCTAAGTGGATCAATAGGATTTAATTGCAAAAATATCGCATCAATCCTTTTACACATTGCTCAAGGTGTTAGAGATTACAACTTGTCCAAGGCATCAAGGGATAAGCCTCAATCACCTTTGACATAGTTGGTTCTCTTGGTGCGGCCATGTGTTGGGCCATTCATTGACACATTTAGAGGTGACATGACAATTGACAAGTTTGCTGGAAGTTTTGTCGAGTGAATTGCCTATTTAGTCACTGAACTTTACACCAGGTTTCCATCAGGTCACTGAACTTAAAAGATCACCTACTTCATCACTAAACTTTCATTTTGTAATCTCGTTAGTCACCGAGCTCAAATTTTGTTAATTTTTTAATAGAGTGTTGATGTTGCGTGCTGATGTGGCCCAAAACTCACTTTAAAAAAAAAATCTGAAAACACATCAGACGAACTGAGAATTCCAAACTACCTTCACCGCCACCCACCGCCGGCTTCCACCTCCAAAAAACCACCATCCCACCACCTAGGCCGCCAAGTATCATCGCCACTGGTATCAGCCTCACCCACCCAACAAATCCCGACCAACATCCCGACCTCAAACCGCCCCAAAGAACCTTGGTAGCTACAAAACTCCTCATCGTTCCGGCTAAAAAACTTGGCAGCAACCACCCTTCCAGTCACACCCATCAGGGCCAACACATACCGATCTCTTCTACACTCCAAGGCACATCCAACCATGGTTTCATAGCATCAAATAGTGTATCAATTCAAAATTTTCAGTCTCAAATTTTAGCCCCCACACGCACGCACTTGAGGTGAATTCGCCTCCAATTGACGGGCAAAATGATGTCATTGCAACAAATTGGACCCAATAGAACCTTCAGCAGGTTAATACGACCTTGGGTAACTCCTCAATTGAATCGATTAATCCATTACTTGCTCCAATTTTGTAAATCAAAATCTACCAATTTTTCAACCGTTTGACATAAATCTGCCTCCTTTTTTTTGTTGAGTTTACGAATTTTCTGTCAATTGGTGGTGGCTACGGGCGTCGGCGATATGGTTGACAATGACTGATGGTGGTTGATTTTGATGAGGGAGATGGAGATATCTTTTCTTTTTCCTTTTTATTGGAGGGAGGTGGAGACGTCTTCACTCTTCAGATGCTGCGATATGTTCAGTTTTCTTTTTTTCTTTTTTTTTTAAGTAAGTTTTGGGCCACGTTAGCACGCCACATCAACAGTCCGTTAAAAAAATAACGAAATTTGAGCTCGATGACTAACGAGATTACAAAATGAAAGTTTAGTGATGAATTAGGCGACAAAATGAAAGTTTAGTGATGAAGTAGGCGATTTTTGAAGTTCAGTAACCTGATGGAAACCCTAGTGTAAAGTTCAGTGACTAAATAGGCAATTCACTCAGTTTTGTCATATCAAAAGAGTACAAGTCAAGGCATTGAACTATGCTACCAACTCCTCTAAGGCGATTTGGATGGCAAATAACACATACCCCTTTTTGAGGTGCTTCGAGTTCCTCGTATGATTGAAATATTGTTTGAAGCGATTTAGATGGTAACACAAATTACCATTAGGCTCGAAGTAATTTACACTGAACTGCACAAAAAATGTACACATGTTGGGAAAGAGCATCTAACATCAAGATTATATACAAAAGACATAACCTATTTTGCGCATATGTATAAAAGATATATCCGACACTCATGCCCTTTGACATAGTCATTCCATGTTTCAAATTTGGGGTTGTCCATTGCCTCCATGCTTTCAATCTTGTAAGTTTCTTGACGTATTTATTTGTTAATACAATAGAAGCTGTTTCGCGCGGGTTAGTCGCTAACAATTAAAAGGGATCAGACGATTGTGTAAGGGACAAACCTCTTGAGACAAAGTCCCAAAAATGGGTGTTCTTTTATTGGCGATGACTTTACAATTGGAAATCAAAAACAAAATGCCTCCAAGGGGCGCAAGCACACACGAGTTACTGAAAAAAAGTGTTTAAATCTAAACTAAGGAATTTAAAATTACATGTTCTTTATTCGAGAGTTTTTGATTCGGCCCCTTGCTCTATGTCTTTTCTCCCTTTTATGCTCCATGGATGATCTTTTTGTGATCAACCGTCTAAAAACTGCTTGATCGTTCTACAACTGCTCCACTTTCCTCGTAATGGCCAGCTTGTCATGAAAACTGCCTTTTTAACTGCTGCCATTACTCTTCGTCGTTCAACCGTTTTTGATTGAATTCCTTGAATCGTGGAACGTGATAGGGCTGCTTTAATAACTGCTTTGATAACTGCACTTCTTGATAACCACAACGCTTTATGTTTGCTAAAACCTTGGGCGACTTGAAGGTTTGGGCGAGAATAGAGTAACAGCTCTGGGCGACTGCATGGCACTCCATTCGCTCAGATTCTGGGCAACTTGCAAACTTGGGCGATGGCATTACCGCGTTTTTGGGCCTCCCTATTTGGGCCTTCATCTTGAGTTGTTTGATTGGGTTTCGTTCTTT